GTTGGAAGGCACACTCTGCAGTGCGTGGACTGGACTAGGTAGCCTTCAAGCCAGGGCAAGTCCTGCTGTTGGTGAGAACCTCCGAAAAACGATCCCTCTCTCAAGTGACTAAATACGACTCCCCCCCCCCCGCTAGGAGCCCCCAACGTACGGCGTGCCCTGCTTACAGCGGAAGGATATTTCTCCTTCTTACTTTCCGTCCCTAGCACGTGCGGAACGGAGTGAGCTACCTCACTGAGCCCCTCCCTCGCCCAAATTTGTTGATTACCAACTTAAGTTATTAATCCTTGTTCAAGATGCCATCGAAATGCCACCGATTCACGGCAATCTGCATTGTTTGGGATGAGTGATACCTACCACTGTGCTCAGCTCTTTGACGCGCCTTTCTCTATTGAGCGCGGTGTAGAGGAGCGGCAATCCAAAAGGAAGAGGAGAGGGAACCCAAGAGGAAAGCTCTATGGTAAGCAATCACCCTCCCCCAAGCGCACACTACGCCTTAAATTGAACACTGTTGTGAAAGTCTCGACGAATTGTTATTCTGCTAACTGTCAAAGAAACGAACCTCTAAGGAGATCTCAGCCGGATTCTCATAAAGGGGTGGACTGATTGAAGAGGAGGAGATGGTAGAGTCATCGAATTTCGACTTGAAATCGCCGAACATCTCGGACAGCAAAGGATCGCCACTCTGTCGTCCACCAAATGCCTGACAGAACTGCATGTTCTCGCTCATCAGGCCCGACAGAGTCTGAAAAACCATCATGTTGAAAGTTGCTGCAGTGGCGTAGCATTTAGAGCACAAATAACGTACCGTAATAGTTGGCAGCAACAGCAGGAGATTTCCGAATCGACTACTGGCAGTATAGATGGGATGCAGTTCTTTGACGATTTGGAACAACATATCTTGAACTTTGTCTCGAAGATCACCGATGGCCACTTTGGCTCGGTCTGACAAACCCTTGGCGTCTGCAATTGTTTGAAAATTATGTTGAGCATGAACTTCTGAACTCTTGCAATTTGAAATCATATGAAAGCTCTCAAATTGGAAATAGAGAA